TCCAATGGTACTCCAAACAGCGGCGGCAGCTCCAAATGGCGGCGGTGGCTCCGCTTCCGTGTTTGGAGCTGCCTCTGCCGTTTGGCAGAGATATATTACAGGACTGATATTTGTAAGTTTAATGACCTCTTTTTCGACACTGGACTTTGCAACTGATTAATCCCTGGACGGACTGAACTTAGTGTATGATATATGGACTGTTTGACTATGCATATAAATCTTACTGGAATAAACTATTTAACTAGCACATTGTATCTGTTTTACTGAGTGTAAGCTACAATAACGTTTATCTCACATATCTGCCTGCCTGCCTGACTTCCGTGCAGGTTCTGCTAGTGTATATCCCTAACACACGTACCACACCACCACCCGAAGTAGCTGAGGTGAACCCTGGCCCTCCCTGGCATTTACTTTTGGACACGCAGGTTTTCCTACAGTCCCGAAAGGAGGGGATTCCTGTGGTTGCATTGGTGGACTCGGGGGCTACTACTAGTTTTATGGACCGGGCCTTTGCCACCCACTTTGATGTCCCATTGGTTGCTGTGGAACCACCCATCAGGGTGGAAACCGTTGACGGGCGTGAGCTTCGGTCTGGGCCCATTCGTTTTGCCACCCAGCCGTTGCGTCTGGTTATAGGGGACCACGAGGAGGCGATCAGCTTTTATATCACCTCGGACCTCCATCTCCCCTTGGTTCTTGGCATGGCCTGGCTACGGTTGCACGATCCTCTGGTGGCTTGGGCGCAGAACGCCATTTCGTTCCCAAGTCTCCAGTGTGTGGATCATCTGAGACATACCTGCGCTAGCCAGGACATTGCCACCCCTGCTGTTTCCATACCACCAGAGCTATCGGACCTCTCCGACATTTTCAGCGAGAAGGAGGCAGATCAGTTACCACCGCATCGCGCATATGACTGTCCCGTGGACCTTCTACCTGATGCCCCACTGCCCAAGGGTCGTCTATATTCCATGTCTGAGCCCGAATTGGCTGCTCTTCAGGATTTTCTGGATAAGAACTTGGCCCGGGGATTTATCAGACCATCGTCGTCTCCTCTTTCTGCTCCCGTCCTTTTTGTGAAAAAGAAGACGGGGGAGTTGCGTTTGTGCTGTGACTACCGCCGGTTGAACGCCATCACGGTGAGAAATAGTTATCCCTTGCCGCTCATTCCAGAGTTGATGGAGTGGTTGCGGGAGGCCACTATTTTCACCAAGCTCGATCTTCGAGGGGCCTACAACCTGGTGCAGATGCGCAAGGGGGACGAGTGGAAGACGGAGTTTGGCACCCGATACGGACATTTTGAATACACCGTAATGCCGTTTGGGTTGACCAACACCCCCGCGGTTTTCCAGCATTTAATGAATGACATTTTACGGGACATGCTTGATCGGTTCGTGGTGGTGTATCTGGACGACATTTTGATCTACTCTCGGTCCAGGGATAGCCACCTTCATCAAGTCCGTCAGGTATTAAAACGTCTTCGGGAGCATAAACTCTATGTGAAACTGGAGAAATGCCTCTTTTTCCAGACTTCCATAGAGTTCTTGGGGCATATCATCTCTCCCGAGGGCATTGCCATGGACCCGAGGAAAGTAGAAGCCTTGTGTAGTTGGGAACCCCCTCGTCGAGTAAAAGACGTGCAACGTCTCTTGGGGTTTGCTAATTACTACAGGACCTTCATCTCGGACTTTGCCAAGCTGACGGATCCCATCACCCAGCTCCTTCGCAAGAAGGTCCCGTTCCAGTGGGGGCCCCCGCAGCAACAGGCTTTTAAGGCTTTAAAGAAAGCCTTCGTTGCTGAACCTATATTGAGGCATCCTGATCCAAATTGTCCATTTGTGGTCGAGACAGATGCCTCTAATGTAGCTATTGGGGCGGTGTTGTTACAAGCCCCAATGGATGGCGCACCTCTTTTTCCATGCACATATTATTCAAGGAAGCTCACAACTTCTGAGTGCAATTATACCATTTGGGAGAAGGAGTTGCTGGCCATCAAGGCTGCATTTGAGACCTGGAGACATCATCTGGAGGGGGCTCAGCATAAGGTGGAGCATCGGACAGATCACCGTAACCTGGAACATTTGTCCACTGCCAAGAAGTTGAACCAACGACAGATCCGGTGGTCGTTGTTTTTCGCTAGGTTCAACTTTTCAGTCACATACGTTCCCAGTGGACAAAATCGGAGAGCGGATGCCCTGTCTCGTAAACCCGAGTACATTGGTCCCGAGGACACTCTTCCTCCACGTACGGTGCTGCCACCGGAATCTTTGGCCGTTATTCAGGACCCGGTGGATTTAAGGGCTCGAGTAAGAGAGGCACAGCGCTTAGACGCTTGGTCACAGCAAAGAATGGGGGAAATTGAACCTGACTCCCCATGGACTCTAGAGGAGGGCTTGCTACGGCATCGAGGACTATTATACGTACCCACCCGGACACTTAGAGCCCTCATCATGACTCAATGTCATGACAATCCTGCTGCTGGCCACTTTGGCTTCTTTAAAACTCTTCACCTGGTCACACGGACTTTTTGGTGGCCTCGAGTCTGACATGACGTCTTTTCTTACGTTGCCTCGTGTATTACGTGTCGACAAGCGAAGGCTGCGTCAGGTGCGCCTCCTGGACTTCTTCAACCACTTCCGACTCCGAACTGACCTTGGGGGGCGATCTCTATGGACTTTTTAACGCACTTGCCCTCGTTGTCAGGTTATACGACGGTACTTGTGGTGGTTGACATGCTCACCAAGATGGCCCATTTCATCCCGTGTAGAAGGTTACCATCGGCTCGTGTTACTGCCCGGCTTTTCATACAACACGTATTCCGTTTACATGGCTTACCGGACAGAGTTGTGTCAGATCGCGGTGTTCAGTTCACCGCTCAATTCTGGAAAAGCCTAATGAACGCACTACGAGTACAAGTATGTTTAGCGTCAGCGCACCATCCGGAAACCGATGGCGGGACTGAAAAAGTAATTGGCATCCTCGCCCAATACCTCAGATGTTTTGTTAATCAAAGGCAAAACGACTGGGTGACCTATCTTCCATTGGCAGAGTTTGCCTTTAACAATTCTCGGCACACCTCCACCCACATGACGCCTTTTTACGCAAATGTGGGTTACCATCCGAGGTTTTCCCCCCTGTCGATCGCAGATTCTCCAGTTCCAGAGGCACGAGACTTTTTGTCGGAGTTATATGCCGTGCATCAATTAATTTCCAGACAATTGGAATGAGCGAAAGCAGACTATAAACGTTTCACGGATCGTTCACGTCGAGCGACACCTCCATTGGCTGTGGGTGACAAGGTGTGGTTGTCCACGAAGCATCTCCGGGTTGATCGTCCGATTAGGAAGTTGGATCATCGCGGTATTGGTCCCTTCCCTATCGAGGCGGTTATTAATCCTGTGGCTTATCGGCTCACCCTACCGCGCTCCATGCACATTCACCCTGTTTTTCACCGCTCCCTGTTGGTACCTGACACCCCATTGTGTACTCTCTGTTCTCCAGACGATACGGGTTCTTCATCTAGGCCCAGCACTGATGCTGTTACGGATACCACAGTGGTCGGCATTTACGATTCACGATGGCTGAAGGGACGATTTCAGTACTTCGTAGGGAGGCTGGAAAACGAAACAGAGATTTGTTCCTGGCAGGATGTGTCTAAGGTGCATGCCCCGGACCTTATTCGGATATATCATGCACAATTCCCCTCAAAACCACATCCTGATCGTCAGACTCGGGGGAAGGGCCCTGCGGTGAGGGATAGTGTTGTGACTGGAAGGTTTGAGCCTGCTAGGAGTTTTGAATCTGATGCATCTGAAGACGGAAGGTTTGAGCCTGCTGTGAATGTGGAGTCTGATTTATCAGAGGACATAGATTTGAGCCAGGAGGATGAGAGAGTGTCGGAGACACGGTAGTCTCCAGAACCTTCTACTTCATTCATGCCTCGGGTGTCAGCAGCTGATCCACAGAATGAGCCAGAGGCTTCCAGTGAGGACGAGACTGACGGATGTTGGCTTGATGGTAGGACTAGAAGATTGAAACGTCAATCACAATCTGAAAGGAGACGTCAAGCCAGGGATTAATTAGAGAGACTGACACGCCCCTCCATGGGATTTAAGGAGGCGTGCTAGCTCTTAATCTTTGCTTGGAGCAAAGTGCACTTTGGGATTCGGAAGAATACGTTTGACCCTCTTGGATGCAGCATCATGATTTAGAGTCAGCTCGGACTTGCCAGACAGATTCTAGGAAGACTGCCAAGGACTGTGTAAACAGAAACATTTAACTCTGCATTGTCTGTGTTCGTTTGTTTGAGCATTATAACTTTGGAACTTTGGATTCTCACCTGTGGATACAGGTGAGACAGAACATGTATATATGCTGCCATCAATGTGTGAAGCTCGGCATTTTATAGAATCTACAGGCCAAAAAAGAGACGTCCAAATACGAAAAGCTGAATATTTCACACATTTTCTAGGGATTCAATGCAATGCCAAAAAGGCAAACCAGCATAGTATAAAATATTCAGTTTAAAATGACATTCTAGCCTTCTTTGTTGCAATAAGTAGGTCAATACTGGCCTGTTTCTTTTCTTTTTTTTCTCCCAGTAAGAAAGTCCTGTATTTTATTTTGCATTGCTTTATTTTAATCTATTTCTTTTCTACAGAGGAATAGGATTAGGGTTATGAGTCATGGTGGCACAGTCGTTAAAGTGCAGGCTACTTCTGCTGATTGATGGCTGCCTGCAATTTTGTAGTTCAAATCTCACCAGGCTCAAGGTTGACTCAGCCAGCCAGCCATCCTTCCAAGGTCGGTAAAATGAGGACCCAGATTCTTGGGGGCAATAGGCTGACTCTGTAAACTGCTTAGAGAGGGCTGTAAAAGCACTGTGAAATGATATATAAAGTCTAAGTGTTATTGCTATTAGGGTTAAGGTTAATTCCATGACTCTCCTTTCATACTTGGCCTGAATAGTTCTTGTCATTCTGCATAATGCCTAGTTATTATATACAATGTCTAGGGAAAGTACAGTATATAGCATATTAAAATAATGCAGACATTTAACAGAATAACAGAATTGGAAGGGAGCTTGGAGGTCTTCTAATTCAACCCCCTCCTCAAGCAGGAAACCCTATACCAGGGGTAGGGAAACTTGACTCTTTTATCACTTACGGACTTCAACTCCCAGAATTCCTGAGTAAGCCATAAAAGGTTCCCCAACCCTGGCCTACTGGTTTTTCAGTTATAGGCCAGGGATGTGGAACCTTTTATGGCTCACTCAGGAATTCTGGGAGTTGAAGTCCATAAGTGATAAAAGAACCAAGTTTCCCTACCCCTGCCCTATACCATTTCAGACAGAGCTTGGCTTTCTTTTTTTTTAATGATTGTGCAGAACAAATACAAATAAATAAATAAATGGATCCATGTTTCGCTTCTCTTCCATAGCGTAACGTAGCATAGAGAGTTGGTAGGGACCTTAGAGGTCATCTAGCCCAGGGGTCGCCAACCTTTTGGACCTCAGGGACCACCAAACTCATAATTTTAAATCCCGCGGACCAGAGACCATGGGAAAATCCCAAAAAAAGTCTGCAGGAAAATTCCCCACCCCGTTTTCCTCCCAATCAATTGTTCTTTATTTGGGATCTTTTGGCTTCATGTAAGAAAAGCAGCAGAAGTCTTTCTTTCTCTCCCC